GGGTGATCTTCGGCCAGTCACCAGGAGATGGAGAGTCCTAGTCCAGCCTTAGCTATGAAAATTGGGTGACTTTGGGCCAATCACCAGGAGACGGAGAGTTCTAGTCCTGCCTTAGCCGTGAAAGCCAGCTGGGTGACCTTCGGCCAGTCACCAGGAGATGGAGAGTCCTAGTCCAGCCTTAGCTATGAAAACTGGGTGACTTTGGGCCAATCACCAGGAGATGGAGAGTTCTAGTTCTGTCTTAGCCATGAAAGCCAGCTGGGTGACCTTCGGCCAGTCACCAGGAGATGGAGAGTCCTAGTCCAGCCTTAGCTATGAAAACTGGGTGAGTTTGGGCCAATCACCAGGAGACGGAGAGTTCTAGTCCTGCCTTAGCCGTGAAAGCCAGCTGGGTGACCTTCGGCCAGTCACCAGGAGATGGAGAGTCCTAGTCCAGCCTTAGCTATGAAAACTGGGTGACTTTGGGCCAATCACCAGGAGATGGAGAGTTCTAGTTCTGTCTTAGCCATGAAAGCCAGCTGGGTGACCTTGGGCCAGTCACCAGGAGATGGAGAGTCCTAGTCCAGCCTTAGCTATGAAAACTGGGTGACTGTGGGCCAATCGCCAGGAGACAGGGAGTTCTAGTTCTGTCTTAGCCATGAAAGCCAGCTGGGTGACCTTCGGCCAGTCACCAGGAGATGGAGAGTCCTAGTCCAGCCTTAGCTATGAAAACTGGGTGACTTTGGGCCAATCACCAGGAGATGGAGAGTTCTAGTTCTGTCTTAGCCATGAAAGCCAGCTGGGTGACCTTCGGCCAGTCACCAGGAGATGGAGAGTCCTAGTCCAGCCTTAGCTATGAAAACTGGGTGACTGTGGGCCAATCGCCAGGAGACAGGGAGTTCTAGTTCTGTCTTAGCCATGAAAGCCAGCTGGGTGACCTTCGGCCAGTCACCAGGAGACGGAGAGTTCTAGTCCTGCCTTAGCCAGAGAAAGACAGCTGGGTGATGTGCTTAACAGCTGTGGCAAGGAAAGTCGTAAAATGGGGCAAAACTCACTTAACCCATGTTTCACTTAGCAACAAAAACGGCCTCAATCGTGATCATAAGTCAAGGACTACCTATATACCTGTATGTGTGAATTCTGTATTCTGGAACGAAGCTGTTTATTTGCCTTTTTTTAAAATAGGCACCACTGTGGCCCTGCTTGTGTTAGCTTTGGGTTTTCTGCTGTCAGCTCAAGCTTCACCACAAGTTACTCTTGGCCCTGAGAGCCCACCGGGCCAAAACTCCACTTGCACAAAATACAGGTAAGAAGTTTTGATTCGCTCATTAAACCTTCGGGGCTCACGCAGCCGTTCTCAAATGAACCGCAGTATAATGAGCGTTCGCATTAGTTAAGAATGTACAATTAGTCAAGCATTTCAGGCTCGCAATTCACTAAGGATGAATTGTTCTCTGGAAATGAGGAGTCCAGGAACAGTACTGATACCTCTTTGAATATTAATTGGTGCTATTTAAATATCAGAAAAATAGGTCCTAATTATTTTCCTACAGTAAAGGTAACCACAACAAAGGAACGTAAAACAAAGACCCCTTTTAACCTACTACTCAAAACTGGAGTTTTTCAATTCAATCGTTGACAAGGCTGTTTAACAAAACTTTTGGGGTTTTTTTTTTTGTAGGAGATTGCTAAATAGTTCCAGATTATTATTTTTTTTAACCATGTACACGTTTGCCTTAGTTTTGATTTCTCTTCTCGTGTTATTGGTCTTCCATGAAGCTTAGCATAATTCTCATTTTGTGCTTCTTGTATCTTGGTACATGATTGCTTCCATATTACTAAATTAAGCTTTGAAAACAGAATCAGCAGCCAGGTGATAAGTTGGTTGCACAATTTAGGAAAACAGTTTAATGCATGTGTTTTGTTCAGATGTAGGCTATTTTAAGGGCAAATTGCAGGAATCTATTAGATGTGAACTCTTTAGTTATAAACATAGTCTCTGGATGATTAAAAGTTATTTTAACTCCAATTATGGAGTACATCAACAGAGAAATTAAACCTGAAATCTTAATGGATCAGCAAGAATTGTTGATAGAGATAGAGATAGATATTGGTAGATATAGAGACAGATAGGGATAGATAGGGATAGATAGATAGATAGATAGATAGATAGATAGATAGATAGATAGATAGACAGACAGACAGACAGACAGACAGACAGACAGACAGACAGACAGACAGACAGACAGACAGAGTGAGTAATTGCTAAAATATGCTAAAATGAGTTCGAGATAAGTATTTTTTTTAATTGTCCATTTTTTTCCTGCTGGGTTACTTTCTGCTACTGTTTGACTGTTGCATTGTGAGATGGTCTTCAATTTGATATAATATCTCCGTGATACAAAATTTAATATTGCATGTTACCCTCCCAAAATGTCTTCCTGCCTTTATCTCCGGCTGCTGCTGGGCATCTGATTTTGTTGTCAAAAGTGGGATCCTAGTGTGATCTTGTCATTCAAATTATCTGAAGCTCAGTCCGTTAAGAACAATCACGCAGATAACGCGTAAAAACGTTGGCACTGATAGACTCTCTTCCCTACCACGATAAGGAACTTGAGGATTTGCGGGTGATCGTGTTAGTTTAGACAAATCTGTATGTTCCTCAAACCCAAACTCCAGCTTTCAGGACCAATATCTCAGGGGCTGCCCCAAAGAAGAGGGAGTCAAGCTATTCTCCAAAGCACCTGAAGGCAGGACAAGAAGCAACGGGTGGAAACTAACCAAGGAGAGAAGCAACCTGGAACTAAGGAGAAATTTCCTGGAAGTGAGAACAATTAACCAGTGGAACCACCTGCCTCCAGAAGCAGTGAATGCTCCAACACTGGAAGTTTTTAAGAAGAGACTGGACAGCCATTTGTCTGAAATGGTATAGGGTCTTCTGTCTGACCAGGGGGTTGGGCTAGAAGACCTCCAAGGTCCCTTCCAACTCTGTTATTCTGAGTTCTAAAAACATAACAGTATTTTATAATGAAAAGCTTACGGTTTAAAAAAAAATGAAGGAATTGATCCAGAGATGATCAGAAGAGACCTTAAAATGCACGCTCAAGCTATTTTCCCTTGCTCTAATCAACATGTAATTAAAATTTGATTGGGAAGTTCATGCTGTTGAGCTGAAGGACGACTTGAGAATAAATCCTGAAATTAGCTGAGCAGTAAAAGCAGTTTGGGGGTTGTAGCCCTTAACCTAGCTTTTAGCATGTTTCTCTTTATTAAATCTCTAGTTTAATTTAAAACGCTGGAGGGTTTCAACGCAGAAGAGCGTTTACACGTCTGATGTTTTAGAAATAAATACGAAACACCATTTTTAGGATTAAAAAGATGGTATTTTTTGGAATATCCTTCCGTTCAAAGAAATGTAATCATAGTGTGGATAAAATTCATGTGCTTTAGATCAGTTCAGAAACACTGCAAATGCTGCATCATCCAGAGGGTCCCAAAAGATTTGAAATACCAACTGCACGAAGACAAAGACTGAAAGCTTTTTAAATTAAAGAGAGCTAAGTGATTGCAATAGTCATTTTCTAAGAGACTGGATGGATTCCCATAACTTCCCATCCCATTCCCATATTACTCCCTTCTTTGTTTTCTCTGCTTCTGTTAGCACAGGGACAATAGCTGGAAATATTTGCTAAAGCTGGATTTGTTATTAATGAAAGCAAGCAGGTTTTTACCATCCAGAACTCCCACACCTCATTATATATACATATCGCTTGGAAGATTCATCTGGTGCAGACTTTCTGCTTGAAATACTAAATATTTTTTTACAAGTACTTACATTTGCAGGAGGTCAAAGGCTGGTGCCTTTTGATATTGGTTAAAAGACTTGGGAGTAAATCCTGATCAGGCACCATTGCTTCAATTAATTTTAATTGCATTCCACAGGACCAGTTCCTTCTTTCATTAATATTTATTTAGAACAAGTGTTCAGTTTCATAATTGGAATATTATTTTTCTTGTTTCCCCCCCTCCCCCCAATTTTTCCACAGCATGCTTTCTGAAATTTTTTTTAAAATCTGTGTCTGCCATGGAAGGAGTTTCTCTCTGTAACTCAGTTGTAACTTCAAACGGTCACTAAACAGATGCTTGTAAGTCAATGACTACTGCATACCGCATACCTGTTAGATAGATAGATAGATAGATAGATAGATAGATAGATAGATAGATAGATAGATAGATAGATAGATAGATAGATAGATAGATAGATAGATAGACGGAGATAGATAGATGGAGATAGATAGATAGATAGATAGATAGATAGATAGATAGATAGATAGATAGATAGATAGATAGATAGACAGACTAGATAGATGGAGATAGATAGATAGATAGATAGATAGATAGATAGATAGATAGATAGATAGATAGATAGATAGATAGATAGATAGACTAGAGAGATAGAGTAGATAGATGGATGAGAGAGAAAGGTGATAGGTAGACAGACAGACACAGACAGACAGACAGATAGATAGATAGATATAATAGACCAGAGGTCTTCAAATTTGGCCCTTTTATGACTTATGGACTTCAACTCCCAGAATTCCACAAGTCATAAAAGGGCCAAGTTTGAAGACCCCTGTTATAGGACATTTAGCAGACAATGAAATAACAAGCTGTGTTAAAATTAAAAAAAAATGTATGCAAATGGTTTCTGAATACTGTTTTTAAAATGTGCATGTGAATTGCCAGTGAAAAGAAAGATGATTGGAAAACCTTTAGAAACAACACACGTGTTTTTGTCATTTAAATGTTGACATTCACCGATTTCCCATCTGTATTGTTATGGGAATATAGTTATTTGCCCATCATATATTTTTTTAAGTAACGCTGAATAATTCCCAATTTCTACTACCGATCTCTCCCACTGCAAGCGTTCTTAATTGTCCCACTAATTCTGTGTAAATTCGGAAACTATTATCTTTAATTGGATCTATGTCCGTTTTAATTTCAGTCTCATTGTTTGTTTGTTTTTTCTTTTACTTTTCATAAATTACGGAAATATTCTCCCTCTGACTGAGTTACAACTTTCGCCCAAGTTACATAAAGCCATTGATGAACCTAAGGTTCTAGGTCAGTGGTGGCGAACCTATGGCACGTGTGCCAGAGGCGGCACTCAGAGCCCTCTCTGTGGGCACGCGCACCATGCCCCGGAGATGGCAACCGTCCCTCTTTAACCAGCTGCCCACTAACCTGCCGAGGTCCCACGTGCCCGGATGCATCCCAGCATGGCTGGTTTCCCTTCCCCCCCCCCAGTCCCATCCCTCCTGGCCTCGCATGCTCTCCTTTTTCTGGGCACGACACAATGCATCGCCTCCTCAGCTGTCGGCCGTCCAGCTCAAAGGCGGCTTCTCTGAAGTGCTGGCGGCGGGCTGCGGAGCCCCAGAATGTGCTGGTCAAGAGGCTGGCAGGCTGTGACTGCTGACGGACACTGTCGGCCCCCATGTGTTCGCTAGCCTCTGTGTGCGAGGGCCGATGGTGTCAGGCAGCAGCCGCCCCGGCCCCTGCCTCGCCTTGCCCTGCGACAATGGCACCCCCACCTGCCTCACCTTGCCTCACCTCACCCTGCAGGACGAGCCTCCTGTTCTGTCCCCGTCGGACACACACACCCAAACAGCCAGCCGAGGGTTAAAGAACTTCTCCACACTTCAATCCACAGATAAGAAAACTTGGCAGCAGCTCCGTAGCTGCCTGCCAAGACTTTTACTCAGAGAACAAAAAACAATACACACAGTTAAAGAATTAAGTCCACAGCAAACTACTTCGCCAGAGATTCAGCTTTGTCCGTCACAGAGTCCAAATGGCCACCACCTCCCTTTTATAGCCTGTGGGGTGTGGTCCAGTGACTCAGCTTAATCTCTGGCACATCTCCTTTTCTGCTGTGCACGCTTGTCGCTCCTACGATGGCGTGGATCCAGCCACAACTTATCTTCATCACTATCTGAAACACCTGGCTCCTGGCCAATCTCAGAAACACCTGGCTCCTGGCCAATCTCTTCTCCATCAGGAGACACCTGAGGCCTTGCCAAAGAGGAGGGTCCTGGAGAGGGAGGCCTGGCCATCTCCTCTCCTTCATGTTCGGAGCCTTCTTCCTCCGATAAGAGGGGCTCACAAGACGGAGCCACAACACCTCCTGCCCACCTGCCCCACCTGCCAGAGACCCCCTGGATCTCCCCCAACCCTGCCCAGCCCCCGCAGGCATCTCTCCCCACGAGCAACATCGAGGAGACTGGCCACACCCAGTCTGCCATGACCACAGCCACGCCCACCCAGTGGGCCACACCCACCTGGCACCCGGAGATAAATAAGTGGGTTTTGGGTTGCAGTTTGGGCACTCGGTCTCTAAAAGGTTCGCCACCACTGTTCTAGGTTGTCCTTTGAGAAGCCAACTAACCGTTATTCTTATTTAATTTGACCCTTCTCTTTTAAAAGGTTGGCTTATCCCCATGACTTTTCATTCTTTATTTCAGCCATTGTAACGGGTGCATGCTGGATCCAATGTGTGGGTTTTGCTACAAACTGAACAAGTCGAGCGTTGTCGAGTCTTCTTGCGTGCCGGTTAGTAAGAAATCAACAATGGAAGCCGCGTGGGGCAGGTACGTTCCTTTTGTGTGGCTTAATTGTGTAAGAAATGCTTCTGGGTACTTTAGAAAGAAATGCAGCTGTTCCATTAGTTTTCAAGATGGTCTTTTTTCATTATACGAACCGTGTTGCACTGTGGTTTCTCCTTTGTCGTTAAAAAAAAAAAAAGAATCCTCATAAAAGCGCTGTAGGATACAATCAGTTGTGAGTGCCGATTTAAAGGTCACATCACTCTTCTTTTTTTTTGAACATCGGCGGCAAAAGGTACGTGGAGGAAAGTACCAAACCTTTCTCAGTTGCGTTACGCCAAGATTTTACTAGTGATCTGAAAAAAAGGCAGGCAAATAGCATTCAAGTAAGAGTAACCTAAGACAGGTAGTCCTCAAACCTACGACCACAGTTGAGCCCAAAATTTTCTGTCGCTAAGCGAGACAGTTCAAGTGGCTTTTTGCCCCGTTTTACAACCATGCTTGCCACAACTGTAAAGCAAATCACGCAGGTTTTCAGTTAGTAACACGATTGGACTTGTCAGAAGATCACAAAAGAGGGTCACATGACACACACACACACCCACACACACACACACCGGGACACTGTATGAGTCAGTTGCCGGGTGTTTGAATTTTGATCACGTGACCATGGATGCAGTGGTCGTAAGTTTGAAAAACGGTCAAAAGTCACTTTTTCCAGTGCCGTTGTAACTTCGAATTGTTATAAATTGAGGACTACCTGTAAGATTGGTGAGTATCAGGCTAGTCAGTGAATAGCTTACATATAGGGTCACTTAATGCTCCTAAATGTTCAGTTTGGTTGTGTAGGATGTTATTCTGTAACTGTTTTGAGGTTTAATTTTTTTTAATATTTATACAAATTAATCATATAGCTGAAGGGCTGGCATATGATTAATGCAGACATGCTATACAGTAATGGTGCTGAAAGCAGCATTTGCACATGACAATCTTATGACTTGGCCAACTTATTTGATGTGACTTTAATATTTTTTTTTTCGTTATTGCTAATTACCCATATTGGGAATATAAATGGACAGATAAAATTTTAAATTAAAAAATTGAACACTGACAAATCTATTGCAACAATAATAGCTTCCCCCCCCCCTTTTGCGAAGCAGGTCCAAAATTTATAAGCTTGTACATCTATTTGCAACCCAATTACTTATTTTCTTATTTTAATCATTAAATAACCTTTGTGGTGAATTTTACCTCAGTCAGTCATTGTTAGGGCCACACCGAACAGGAATTACTGTGGTAAGTCTGGTGTTGCCGTGCAGAAGCTTTAATTAGATGCACAGGAAACTTTTGCTGAATGCAGTATAATTTTGATTATATGTTATAGAAAACATTGCAATTTGTGATTGGGTTTTTTCACACAGTGCTTTTGAATTTCCATAACGTTTCCAGATGATTCTGACAGAAAAAAAAACAGGGCCTTAGCGCTGCCAAGGAGCTTCAGTGGAAGCAATTAAAATTCCCCGTTTTTTAAAAAAGAGGGTATAATAAGAATTCACACAGGAAACCTTGTCATCAGTCCAACCACGCAAAAAGTTTTTTTTTTTGATGGGCTAAGGACAGTATTTCATGTTTTTTATGTAATACTAAGATCTTAGTTTCTTAGCGTTGTGTCGGAAGGTGGTGAATAATTCATTTCGGAATTTAATAGCATTTTTCAAATTCCCGATGTCGGTTCTGGTAGAAAGAAATTTCATTCTGTAATAGCTAATGGATGAATGCTTCTTTGTAACCAAAAAAAAACTAAAGCTCAAGCATAGAAGAAAATGGCGATAATATAGAATATCATTTAATTTTCCTTCTCTGGGCTGCATACAGTTTAATTTGGAAAAAAAAACAAATCAGAGAAAATGTCTCTGGAGATTTTTAATCATCTAGGTCAGGGGTCCCCAACCTGTGGGCCGTGGCCCAGTAGTGGGCCCGGCCTGCTGGCCACCAGGCCGCGGGACAGGCCACCCCACTCGCACTAGCGCCGCAACCGCGGGGTGCAAAAACAGGACGTCGAACCATGCAGTACAAAAGGACCGCTGCTGTGCCTTGGGGCGCAAAAACGATGCCGCGGCACCTTGGGACGCAAAAATTGTCATGCATACATGCCAGTTGCCAAATGTTCTAAATTTTGACCCACGGGGATGCCGCAGCAGGTGTGAATGTGAAAAATGGTCGTAAGCCACCTTTTCCAGTACTGTTGTAACTCTGAACAGACACTGAACGAATCGTCGTTAAGTCCAGGACTCTCTAGTTAACGTTATTGACTTGAGATTAAATTTACTCTCTTGGCTTCTCAGACAGAATGCTTCCCGGAGTCTGAATTAGTATTCTGAAAAGCGTTACGCGGCTGGCCTAACGTGACCTTCAAAAAAGAAATAGTTATCTTTCCCCAACTCTTGTTGTGCCCATGAATGTGAACTGCTACTCCATGCTTCATTAAAACCCCTGGCAATTGGGAGCAGCTCGCCGCCGCCTCCTTCCCTTCCTTAATAAACCACCGTGCCGCTGCGTTATAATTTTCCTTATAGCGCGGAGTCGTTTTCTTTAAAGCTAATAGCAAGGAGCTGTGCGGAGAGAAAAGCTGCAAACTGCAACACAAAGAGATGTGTTCTCTAAGCCTGTGATTATGTGGCCTCCTTTTGCTGATCTCTTCCAAGGAAATGGACCCCGGAGGAAGCGAAGAAGCAGGGCCATCCTTAAAGTCCTTTGCCAATGTTTTGAAGCTCTGGGACCCACTGCCAGCACCCGTTTCTGGATCGCTGACCTAATGATCTACCTGATCAGCTTATTTCTATTTCTTCTAAGGCAGCGATCCCCAACTTTTGCAGTTTGGCGGACCGGTGGGGTGGGGGGGGGAAAGAGAGGAACCGGGCCGCGCAAGTGGCGGGCCGGCACGCACAGCTCGACTTGGGTAGGTTGACCTGCGCACGTTTGCACACGTGTCAGCCTGCCACTCACACAAATCGAACTGTGTGTGCATGTGTGGACGCTCGCCCGCAACTTGCGGGGCCCGGTTCCCAATTGGCTGCAACCCGACAGTGGAACCACGTCCCGGGGATTGGGGACCCCTAAGGAACTGCAATACTTTATATAGATATCCATATTCTTAATTTTAAGTCTCCGGCATTTAGTATTTTTGTACAAGTAGGAAACTACTGTAAACTAAAAGCTCTCAGAATAGCTAAATTAATTCCTCTCTTCCCAAACATAGCTGATCACTAGGAGTCATAAATTTGGTCATGGTTATCAAAAATAATAGGCTGCTCCTTAAGGAATGCCAATTTTTCCCCAGACACTTTTGCATAAATTAGTCACTTCCCTTCAACATAGCCTCATCAATCCTTATTGAAGCAACGGTTGTGTAGTTCACAAAAATAGAACACACCTGTTTCATGTCTTTCCAAAGAGAACAAAAAAGCTCAAAGGCTTTTCTGATAACTTCTAAATTCTGGAGGGGAGGGGGAATCAACTTGGCTCTCTCAATTAGTAAAAAGGAGAGAGTATTAAATAAAAGAATTCATCAAAGGTGCTGAAAATGCTTCAGCTACGCAAAATACAGGTGGTCCTTGACTTAGGACACACAACTGAGTCCAAATTTTCTGTTGTTAAGCAAGACAGTGGTTAAGTGAGTTTTGTCCCATTTTACAACCTATCCTGCCATAGTTGTTAAGAGAATCACTGCAGTTGTTAGTAACACGGTTATTAAGCGAATCTGATTAGACAACCTTTATTGTCATTTTTTTTCCTGTGGGCGCAATGGCACACATTAAAAATGAAATTTAGTTGCTTCCTGTTAAAGTGTACACATACATAACACACATTTAACAGATACTACATACAACATATGTATAGACCTACACACTTACACATAAGTAACATATAAATATTAATCACTGTCCATCTTGAGTACATAACGGAAGGAGGAAGCTTTAAGAGTTTACAAGGTTGACACTGTATGGAACAAAACTGTGGCTGAATCTGGATGTTCTGCTTCGGATACCACGGAGCCCCCTCCCAGAAGGTAACAAGGAAAACAGGTTGTGAAGAGGGTGTGTAGTGTCCCAGACAATCTTGCCGACCCTGCTCAAGCAACCCTTGTGTGCCATGTCCTGGATGGAAGGGAGGGAACTGCCAATGATCTTTTCGGCCGTCCTCACCACTCTCTGCACCGCCTTCCTGTCCGAAGCAGTGATGCTTCCAAACAAGACTGTGATGCTGTATGACAGGATGCTCTCGATCGTCCCTCTGTAAAAAGTGGTGAGGACAGTGGAAGGAAGATGTGCTTTTCTCATGCGACGCAGAAAAGGCAGGCGCTGCTGTGCCCGCTTCACCATTGGCTTTGCAAAAGGGGACCACGTGAAACCCCCTCCCCAGGACAATGGAGCCGTCATACATATGAGTCAGTCGCCAAGCATCTGAATTTTGATCACGTGACCCTGGCGATGCTGCAACGGTCATTAGTGCGAAAAAGGTCATAAGTCACTTTTTTTTTAGTGATGTTGTAACTTCGATGGGCGCTAAATGGACTGTTGTAAGTCAAGGACTAAATGCCTTTTATGCCTTTTATACCACTGCACCGACCAACTGCCGTTTCTTTTTTAAAGAAAGAAAGAAAGACCGTTCCATTGTGCTGATATTTCATTCCTGTGGGGATAAAACTTTATTCTGTCATCTGGGAACCTCGTGTTCACCTTTCGAACACTTAAAATAATTCAAGGCCAAAAAAACCCGACAACAAAACCCACCCTATGTCATCATCAAGGATGATTAATATAAATCATTGTCCTTTTGACAAACATCTCTTTTCTATTTCGGCAGAGTTGATTGCAGCTATTATAATTGTGTTTAAAGATAGCGAAGGACGGAAATAACTTTTATAATAATGGAATGTTTAAAACAAGGAGATGTGCAATTTCCTTCAAGATCATTCCTGATGAATAGAAGACCTGCAGAATAAATCTTGCCTTTTTAAATTCAAAAGCAGAGCCGGAAGAAAA